CATGATAATCACGTTAGTGTGAAGAATTGTTTGTACAGCAGATTGCCGAGCCTTGGAAATTGAATTTTGAGCTTTTCAGGCTTCGAACGGCTACTCGGACGTTTCATTTGTGAGCAATCTGAATCAGGCGATTGCTCGGCCGGATCCCAACGATGATGCCGGTGCCTCAACAAGCATGCGAAGCGACGATCGGGTAAGTCCGTCTGTTTGCTGCTATGCGGTAGCACCGTAATTATCCTCTTCGCTTCGTTATATAACATCAGAGGGCAATGGAATCTCCTCATTACCTTAATTATCGCGACCAACCAATGTTTCGCAGGAAGCAGAGCTACGGTGCATCTGGTTTGATGCGACTTACATATTTTTACGTAACTGTTACGTACGTATTTTTACGTAGCTACCGATCACGTATTTTTGTCGTATTATTTATTACGCTACTTCCTTAGTGTTTTTCGTGCTTCATTTTCTTAACGATTCCATCAACAGGGTACAGCATCGTGATGTGTAAAATGGTGGTGTCAATATGACCCCCCCCTGAGGGAGGGTGTCAGTACGACTCCCCCACCAAAGGGAAAGTCTCGGTACGACACCCCCTTCCCCAGCACCTACCTATCAATTTCCCACATTTTCCAGTTTTTCACCCAAAGATTTTCCGCCGTCGGGCTGGGGGGAGGTATATAGTACACATGAAACAGGAAAAATCACGCGAAAAGTGAACAAAACCGAAGAAAAGTTCTTTTCCTCAACGCAGCAAATTCCTCTCCAAACGGCCAAATACGACCCCCTCCCCCCTTCTCAGCGGAAAAGTGCGACTCCCTATGCGTTTATCTGTTTCACACAACGATGCTGTACCCTGTCCATCAACCTATGGTTCAAATACTCCACCTCTCATCAGCTGATGGCATTAAGATAACATGGGTTAATCTGTCAGTACACTAAGTTCTAGCTTTCAAGAGTTAAACTTCTGATTAGTCCTAACTTTCACGCCACTGAAGCAGTACACCTATTCTTTGAAGTCAATGTGCGTTTGGTATGAAGCACTTACTACTCGATCCCTTTTCTCATACTGTGACAGGAGGAGAATAACCGTGCTCTTGCCAATGAGGATAGTCTTGAGTAATGCGAACAAGCACTCCCAATGCGATGGTAATTAGGGTGTCCGGAAAGTTTTGAGAAATTTCAACTAGCTCATTTAACACTTATCAACAATAATAAGAGATAGTAGTTCATAGTTATAATGAATATTGTCCATCCTATGTCCCTTACCTTTTGGGCGGGATTACCTTGCGTGGGAGCTAGAACTAGCGAGTACTGAGAATGAGGGGGCGTACGCAACATCTAAGCTGAACTTCCCATGGAAGAGGCCGATTGATCTCCTAGTATAGACAATTTTGAAGAGCGTTTTATCCAGCACCGGATACGCTTCCTCATTCCTGATTAGACGACAAACATAGCCGATAAAGGTGAAGATGAAAATGCGCTCTGGAGTCATGCGCCTGCGTACAATTTGAGGTATGTCAAACCATACCAAGCAATGAGAATAGATAAACACAGCATCAGTCAAATTGATCTACAAACATTTCTCTGTCTCTCCATAGCACTTATAATGACTTTCTGATAGCAGTAATCCCATGCCACACTTCTTCAAAACTAAAAGTGTCGAAAATTTTCTCAAAACTTTTCGGAACAACCATAGCTCGGCTACTTTTCGCAGTTGCATCCTCCGGATGAGAACTTAAATAGGCATCGAGTATCAGCGAATAAGACCTGGTTTGAAAGAAGCATGGCGCTTGCGTAAGCAGGGTACAGCATGGGGATGTGCGAAATGTCGGTGTGAGTACGACCCCCCCTTCGAATGGGGTCCAGGCACGACCCCCCCCCCTCCACCTCCACGGCTTTTTCGCCGACGACGAGCAAGTGAGTATATAGTCGGCGAAAAAGTTGTCAGAGGGGTATACAATAACCCATAAAAGAAACAAATAAATTAATAACCCCCTTTTACGACCTCCCTTTCCACAAGAAAAAATCAACTATCAAAATAAATTTGTCTTACAAATACGACCCCCCCCCCCCCAGAGCAAAAGTACGACCCCCATGGGTTTGACACAACGATGCTGTACCCTGTTGCTATTTGGATTTGGGACCATGCTGTGGTCATGGAATGTCCTGCAGGGCAAATTGTTGAAAGAATATAACCCATCCCCTCAAAACTTTCCTCCTGTGCGACCACGCCCATTGCCATCTTACCGACCACTTCCTTGAACTTTTCTTTTTCTACCACTTTTCCTGGTTTTTTTTCCCTGAAGTTCCTGTCTCCTTCCAGTTTCCCTGCAAAATACTGCCGTCGAGCCAACGGGGGTGGGGGTGTGAGGATACATAGCGAACGTAAAAAGCTGAGATCAATAACCCGAAGAATTCTTGTCAAAGACAAATACGATCCCACTTTCCTCCATCGACTAAATGTGACTCCTTCACTGGAGATCCCCAGCTCACATGTGCTCTGACGGCAGTGCTCTGTATGTCTTCTCCTAACGAAGGTTTGGTTCAGAGCGCAGACAAACGTGGGAATAGCCTGTTCAGATAAAGTAACGGCTGTCAAGGTGCGAAAGAACATGCGCGAAATCAGGTGGGCTTTTTCAAGAGAAGGAAACTGTGCGTTCGGTCACTTACCATTCGTGAACAGCTGTAGTGTTAAAATCTCTACTCCTCCAGCCATTTGCATTTCCACAAGCTTTCATATCTTTTTTTCTCCATAGCGTACCAATGGCTGCTGCTTTGATCCTCGATTCATTGATCCTTCAGAATGGCTTGCTTTCTGCTGAAATCTACCTCCAATGCTCTTTAATCATTATTGGTTTTATGATTCCAAGGCTATTTTTCAATTATCTCGCTTTCCTCACTCGTCATTCTTTGAATATGTGAGCTAACCTTTCACAGCCTTCTACAGAAAAGGGCTCAGCTCTGGTTGATCCCGTTTCGGGATGCCCGACTTCCATTCATAAATGTAGTGGTATTTGCATGCGTGTATAGGCCAGAGAATGAAGTGTCGTGTCAAGACATTTATTATTAGGACTGAACTCTGAGCAAAAGGTTCGGCCCTAGACTGTCCTCGAACGCTTGCTGATTTCCTTCTGACAAGTTACCAAGTGCACGCGTTGATGCTGAGCGTTCTTCATAGTATCTTTCATGTCTTGAATGTGAAGAAAAGGGCCGGGGACGAGATTTGTTGTCCGGTCAAAGAAGTATTAAGTGAAAGTGGTAAGCCTGACCCTGTGGAGCTTTGCGGAAGAGTAACGTTCAAGGGACTGGGGAAGGGCTGTGAGGTTCTGATAGTGGACCGGACGAGACCATGACTCATGAAAAGCATACGTGCTGGTTGGAATGCCAACCGTTGATCAACGTTCTCCTCATAACCCCAGCGGTTTCCTTTCTATACAGAACGACGACGAGCACCAAGTAGTGCAACAAAAGCGCAAGTCGGTCGGATCTCGGGCCTATCGAGTCATCAAAAGGGAAGGAAGAATGGTCTCATCGGGATTCGTTGTAGGCCGTCACCGCACGTGTGGTCTGGAAACTTGATCTCCCCTTAAGTGTGGGGCGATAGCGGTTCTTTGGCGGTAAGGTACTGTCACGTGGCATTGACATCGCTGCCAGTTGCCAATTCACCGCATTAATAAACGTTGTCCTATTATTGAGTCTTTTTTCTGTATTAAAAGTTTACAAAAAGAAGAACTTCAGCATGCTTCAGAGAAGGAGAGTTACTTATCCTTGATTTCGAAAAGCAGAGCCTCCCCTGATCGCTCTCGTCAGCCCCAGAGCTACAGCTAATCCTTCTCCTTCATCTTCTTTAGCGTTGTCCTGTCCCCACGCTGTTGCCTCGTCCGCTCCAGCGCAATAGAATATGGTGCCTAATCACTGTGCGCCCCCAGTGAATGCTTGACTGCTTACGGTATGAAGACATGCAAAAATTAGCGCAAATCAGCGCAAAATAAATGGCTATGTTGAGCGCGCTTACAGTGATGGTTTATTCAGAGGCTCATAGAATATCATAGTGGTCATTTAGTTTTCGGTGATGAACCCTTTTATCAATTGCATGGGCCTAGGCACCTATCAGTAGACTCTCTGAATTCGAAATCGCGAAGTCTTTTGCCGAAACGGAATACGCTTCGAAGACTTCAGAAGTGTACCACCCTTGAACAGACACAGTTGAAGTAACACAACTGATTAGTACTTCATTCTTGCTGCTTAGCTACTCCGAGGCAATTGCATGGGCTTAGACCACTCAGTGAGGGGGAGACCGTTTGCATTTTGGACAGCAGATTTGGGTGGGACACTAGAAAGTTCTTGTCGGCCATCAACTTTTAAGGGAATTTTCTAGAAGTCACACTTTCTCATCTAAACAGACAAGTTTCGATTCTTCACAAAGACCGGACTGAAGCAAAGATCATTTTTTGGTATCTACTTTCCCTGCCGTATCCCTCGTCGTTAGTCTTCCAAGACAGTGATATTGGTGATCCTCAGCAGTATAGACGGCTAATTCTCTTCATATATTCAGAAAATGGATTCGCTCGAAAAATTTGTTCGAAATATTGGATTTTTGGATTCAAAAATGCTGTAATATTTGGGTGAATGGCTCGTGCCGAAGACAAAATATGTGCTACCAGTAACGGCAGGACGTTTTCATTTGAAAACCATAAGGAAAACAAAACTGTGGGATATTAGCGAACTTTCCTTCCTCCCACATCGCTTTCGCTTTCTCTTGGGTTTCTCTGAGCGCTATTACACTATTGCTATAAGCGCTCTGCACCTCAAGGGATTCCTAATGTTATGGCCGCTCTTGCTGCCCTCTTATTCACTTTGAACCTCTCTCGAGAAATCCATCCTCTTCTTTCCCTGACGTGGGTGAGCCTGCAGGCGAGGACACGCCTGAACATTGTACTGCACCCGTTTGAAGTTTGCGGAACCAGCGTCGTTAAAATTGTGAACAAGAAGTTTATAGAGCATTCGGCTTCAGTCAGCCTCTTCTTGAGGATGCGTCATGCAATCCACTTCCATTTTGTATCATAACGGCACTTTGAATGGTCTTCGGCATTTACAGTGGATTTATGGTATTCCAACCAAAGTGCAGACCCGTGTTTTCTCTCTCCTAGACAAATGGAGCAGATCTGAGATTAGCCCCAGAGACTTTCCTTTGCGGACGGTACTACACCATCTCTGTCACGTTATGACGAACACAGTTGACATAGGTATTATTCGCTCTCATTTCAGAGGTTCAGTTAGTTTGACATAAGCGGGGTTAAGGTGCAGTAGTAGGGGTAGTAGGTGCATTGATAAGTGCCCAACTTTGGATACTGCGATAAGCTGCTAGAGGGCGCAGTTTGTCGACGGGGGGGGGGGGCATTTTGCTTTCCATAGATGTGTCGACCCATCTAGGCAGCCGTTTCTCGAGTTGACACGTTTTAGGATAGTGGCTAGACGATCTTACTTCAGCTTCACAAGAGTTCACAAGTTTTACCAGAGTGAGATTTGTAAACCGGAACTAGGGAAGCAATGATAATACAAATGCCCCCCCCCCGTCGACAAACAGCGCCCTACTAGGGTATTTGCTGTCTTGATCGAGGGGTCTCTGTAAAAATATAGCGAATAATACGCCTTGACCCGAGCATCTGACAACTTCTCAGGTCCCCTCCTCACACATGGTAAAGTTTTTACTGTAGTGGTATAATTTGTCGCCAAAAATGTCCTGCGCTGTCACATGAGTTTTGTCCGATTTTCTACGCTTTTGCATAGTTTGCGCTGTTTTTCAAGATATCATCCGATCAACAGTGAAATTTTCTTTTGTAAAAGCAGCAGGACCATTGATAAGCGCCCAGCTGCTCTGCAAGGACGAATGGCTTTTGCACTCTCTCGAATTTAGCGATCAAAGAGTGTATATTTATCTCAACTCGTACTCAGTCAGTCCGAGTCCTTCGCAGTCCCTCCACTAGTATCAAGTAGTACCAAGCTCTAACACGACACCGACCTTGTCGGCCGTCGCTCTTACACTCGCTTACAACATATAATCGTGAATCATAACTTGGTTGATGTGGGGCTCATATGCTTGGGCTCTCGGCTAGTTGATCTCCCAAACTTGTTCTAATTTTAAAACTTTTCTCTAAGCCTCTGCACTGCCTCTCAGCGCGTGGTACATGTTTGGCAGTGCTCAGAACAGAGAATTTTGATACAAATAGCATTTAGAATTATGGGGCAGCCTAATAGATTGCCTATTGCATGTAAGTTCTTGTTTTTGGTTAGAAACACCCGAAATACTTGCTAGAGCAAGTCTAGGAGAGCTCAGAAACGTGTGCTCTTATCGCTCATAAGTTTACGAGAATTTTATTCTCGAGGCTGTACGTGATTTCGCATTGGGTAGAGATACACACCCTATATAAATCATTACGTCGCCGGAAATTGGGTGCGACCAACGTTGAGCATCACCGTCACGGTAGAAATTTTGTTTGTGGCTGACCTTCGCAAAATCGCTGCAAGTCTCGGCACTGTAGGTAACTTGACTGCCTGGAACCGTTTTTACAAAAAATAAGCTCCGTTTTACACGTCTCTAGAGGAGAAACAAAACGTAATTCCGTACTGTGCTCATTAATTCTTCTTTTTTTCAGGTGGCTGATTCTGAAGATCACTGCTCGGTATCGGCAACTCCTGTTTCCCCCGGTGAAGAACTCACTAACGGGAACAGCTCAAAGAGGCTGTCCAATTGTCCGCCGGCATTCAGCTTGATAGCAATCCCGAAGGTCGAGAATGACGAACAAAACAACGACGACGAGGTGGAGGTAAATTTAATGTTCTTTTGCAAATCATTTTGGAAATGAAAAGATGTCGTCTAGCATTCTCTGGGATCGCTTTTATTTTCTTCGTTTGCGATCATCAATGCCTTTGTAGTAGTGTGTGAATTATACACGAGATACAACCCCTCCCCCTCATTGTTTTGCTTGACGAAGTCAGTAATTCATTTTGCGTTTACCATTAAGCGGCACTGGTTTTGGGAAACCTTGGAACACACCATATCCCAAAGTTGAGAGGGGCGTGGCCCCGTACCTCGTTTGAACATGGCGTATGATTGATTTTTGATGGGTTGTTCCATTCGAAATGGCTGGCATCCTTGCTCCTACTGGACTACGTCTTCACTACACTCGCCCCGAAACGGCGAGTCGCACTAAAAGCGCAGTCGTCAAATGAAGCTCTCAGCCACGCCCCGCTCATCTCTGAGATATGGAATATATTTAGTTAACACAACAAACTCGAAATTCCTCCCAAGAGGAGTCTGCTGAAGAGAAATGGCGACTTCCGTTTTTGGTCCTCGTTTTGATTTATATGCGTTCCTGTTCACAATGGGTTAAAGACAATAGAACCCTTTCTGAAAACATAGAAACCCTCCTTCTTATATGGTACCAGATATCACATTTACCAGATCACAAAGGCTTTAAGGAGACTTTTAGTGAGATTAACTTCCGCTGGAGAGCTCTCTCTCTCTTTCTCAGCCAAAAGCTAAGCCCCTGAAACCTGAATGCACCTTTCAGCCGATAAGTTGTCTGAATGATCTCCTTTCAGGATTCCGGTGAGCTGAACATTGGTTCTTTTCCACAAGGTTCCACAGCCTTGGACCTCGTCAGCGGGCTGTTCGCCACGGTTGGTTTCGCTCTATTGTAAAGTAGTTGTTGTAAAAGTTCCTAGCTCTCTTTTGTGAAACAAATCCCTACAATGAGAGCAGCCTAACGGAAAAGTTTTTCCCAGGCAGGGATTAGTGGAACACCATAGTGAATGGATTAGATGGGTTCCCTTCTTTGTGTGGGGCCTGAGAGAGTTATGCCCAACCCATTTAGTTCTCGGTTCTCGGGCACAACGAGCCGCTTGTGGCTCCTGCAGCAAGATGTGGCCATACCTTCACATGTAGAACGTATGGTAGAACGAAGTCCCTTTTAAGAATGAAATATCCACTTAGTACTGGGTCGGAGTCCTTTAACTCTCCTCGCTTTCTTATACGGTATGGTTGAGACTGTTCAACAGTCTGCCCTAGAAGAGGAAGCGGGTAACCTTTTCTGACGGAGGCATCGTTGTACTTGCAGTTTTGGTGGCCTGATCATCCGCTTAGATAATATTTCCGTACTCTGGCTGTTGTTGGAAAATGCTCGAAGTCGTAGGTTCAATAGGCAAGCTGCATGGACTCACTCAGTGCCGTAATTCACTTCATCTGAGTCAATTTCTCGGTTGAAACCATGTAAGAGCAGAATCCTTGCGAATCATAACACTCAAAGATGAGGATGCAAAGGGCGGATGGGTAGTGACAAGTGGCTCCACAGCTTAATCCTAGGATTAAACTTCGCATCGAATTTCACCCTCGTCAACCAATCCTTCCATTGTCGGCGCAAATATCAGTACCAGATGGCTGGGAATAGAAAGACTGGCTGAAGAAGAAAGGTGGCTTAGAAAGAGCGGAAATATTCTGGCGCTGTATGTGACACTGTGTATCCTTGCCCATTCCAATAGTTTTGCAAAAGTTGATATCCTTGCCCATTCCAATAGTTTTGCAAAAGTTGATATGTTTAAGTAGCCATGGTTTTCTCTGATATTCATGCTTAGTACGAAGAAAATGATCTTTATAGTTACAGCACAAGATGCCAGGCGTTGGTTCCGAGTGGAATTCAACGCCGGAATTGAAGGCGCGTCAGTTCGTCTCGAATCACGCACGAATCCCTCCTTACAAGCAACTGGTGCGTATATTCAGGGTTTTCTCCATGGATTCACCTGGCACACTTTGATTTTCTTATAGAACTTCGACCATTAGTTTCAGGAAGGCTTCCAGACGAGAATGAAAGGCTGGCAAAGGGAGTACATCAAAGACATCATTAAAGAAGGACATTACCCTACCGAAGAAGAGCTTCGAGACATTGAAGTGAAATGCGACCTTAGTCGAAAACAGGTAACTAGTTGGAATTCTTTGTAATGTTATTGTTATGCCAAACATTCTGCGCGATTCTCACGGGAATTATGAAAATATCTCCATCTGATTCTATCCATATCACACTTCTGGGGTATAAAGAACAGTTATTCGCCCGGTCGCGGCCAGAAGTGCCGTGGAAAATTCCTAATTGTAGCAGTAGCTTCTTTTAGTAGTTTTTGCATATCCTCAGCCTTTGATTACCTTTATTTTATTTTACTTTGCTATTGTTCAGCATAGATCACTTAGGTGGACATGAACACACAATAAGTGTAGTTGATATCGTTGCCACCGTCGGGGTGCTGTCAAGAGGGGTGGAGTGAGCCCGTCCCGATGCCTTATCCTCCTACCAATAGTGATCGCCTAGTGATCGTTTCATGAAGGAAACAGCCAGTCGTGGAGAATGCCATTCCATGCTTCTTGACCCGCCCCGAATAACTCGATGATTTCAACTGTAACTCCAGACAAAGGTGCGCCCTCCCTACACACTTGTGCGCCTTATACACCAGAAAATGAGGCTATCCAGGCAAACACAATGAGGAGTTTCGCATCAGAAATTATGTGGTATCAGTTGCATGTCGACGATGTCTTGTTCTATGGGTAACTCAAGACCCCGAAGAGAGATTGAAAGAAGCGCTCAATGTACTCAAGGGCACAGGGCACGTCCTACCGCTGGGAAAGATTCTCTGGTCGTATTTCCAGAGAATCTTTCCCAGCGGCAGGACGTGCCCTGTGCCCTTGAGTACATTGAGCGCTTCTTTCAATCTCCTGCAACGAATTGCTGTCGATTTCTTTTTATATGATTTCCATGCTATATTAAGGACTTCTTTCCTTGAGTTATTTATTAGATGGGTTTTTGTTGGGGCAGTAGCTAGTTGGACAAGTGTGATAGACGCACATTACACTGTGTAGATATTCGATTACAATACGTGAACAAGACTAGATGCTTAGTCCAGCGTTCCATAGGGAATACTGCAAAGAAGTTGAAGTTTCAATTTGTTCCTGAGAAATTTCCGGAATTCGCACGCAGAAAAGGAATTTTATTCTTTCTTCGGAAACGTACGCAATTTTTTCCTCCCACACATTTCGTCGGCCAACCCAAAATATGACTACATGGTGCATATAATTTCCAATTAAAGGCAAACATGCGTGTCGCTCGAATACATCTCCCTAAAAGAATGGTCCACTGGTCTCCGTATGGAGTGGTCCCGCTTGGTGGGAATGGGGAGGGAGGAACGGAAAGGTCCTCACAAGGGAAGGATGGTAGGTCGAAGTGCCCATTTGAAATGAAATGTATACCGGCTGAAAGGTTTTGACCGGCGGAACTTACGAACCGTCTCCCATATCTGCTGCGGACCTCCCAGAAAGAAGTTACGGAGGTACTTAGGGGGAGAACACACTACAAATTGGCGGCGTAAGGCTGACGAGATCGCAGCAGCGATGGGCCGAGTAGGACACGTGGTAGGCTCACAGCTGCGTGGCAAAGGGTCTTTGGATCCTTGCATCGTAGATGCGCGTTGCATTTGTTTTTTTAGAAATTAAGGCCCTTCGTGCTCGAAACTAATTTTGGTATAACTCTGGTTGGACCTGATAATGTCGTGACGTGTTTTTCTGAACTGATGGAGCCATTGCGAACGATTTCATGGAGATCACCTCCGGCTGAAAGAGATTGTCATACGAGCCGAAAACTTCCAGCAGATACGAAAACACTTTGAGATAGACATAATTCAACATTATGTGAGTGGTAAATGAAGGCTCTTTTGCCCATCGTGATCTTCAGCAGCATGTTTGTCACATCAACGCCACTTCATATGGGAGCATTTTGCCCCACTTATACTCATCTTCCAGTGCCAACTTCGTTAGCCGAACCGATTTTCGTGGTCATTTCCAGTCATGTCGTTCGGAGAATAAAGTCATTTGGAGGCAAAATCTTCCTTTGGAATGCACTTTTGTTGTGTATCTTTTCAAACCAAAGAAAGAAGAAGACAACAGCCAGAAGTGATCTCAATGGTTCGCAATGGCTCCATCAGCTCAGAATCATTACATAACGACATTATCAGGGACAATATGCAAATAGCTTTGACTCGGGGGGGGGGGAGGGGGGAGGTGTGCGAGGCGAGGAGCACGTGTGTGTGGGGCCGGAGAGAGAAGAATGGCAAGAAGTGAGTGCGACGGAGGCGCAGCGCAGGAGGTAGTGCCAAGAGCGCCGTCGTATGCAGGCGGTGGCGGTGCGTGTTGGTGAGTGCTCGGAGTGACGAGAGGCTGTAGTGTGACGTGCGCATGTGCGGTGTGGGCCGCGAGGGAGTGCTGTCGGAGCCTGGTGACTTGCGCCAATTGGTGGTGAGGGGTGGTGTTGCTTCCGCGGCGGGCTAAAATACCTCTCGTGAGAAGCGTGTGCGTGTCGTGTGCGAAGGTGTTGGCGGCGCGGGAGGTGCGAGAGGTGAGTGGTGAGGTGGACGGGTGGGTTTGGGCGTGAAGTGTCCGCGTCCAAGACGCTTCCAGCGTGGTGATTACGATGTGTCAGTGTGTCGAGGAGGATGCGCACTGTCAGCGCGTGCCATCCTTCCCTGTGTCAGTCGAAGCTGGTGTTTACGGTGCACGTTTTTGAAGACCGTGAAGTGAGTTCCTGGTAAACGAGAGGGTGAGCTACCTGCTGCGAGAAAGGGGTGGTGAGATCGTGCGTGAGCGTGTGGCGCTGCGCGCGCCCCCCCTTTAAAGCGGCGTGCGAAGGCGAGGGGGGCGGTGGCGTTGTGCGTGCGTTGGTTATTATCGGTGACTGCGTGGGAGGATGGACGGGGGGTGAGAAGCGTGGTGCCAGTGCCTGTGTAGGAAGGCATAAGAAGCGTGGAAGGTAGGTCAGGCCAGGAGAGCGGTGTGGGGTGTGTGCGTGGTGCTTGGGAGTGTCCCGGGTGTGAGATGGATATCGAGGCGAAGAGGCTTGTGTGAGAGCCGAGAGAGAGCGGCTGAGGACGGGGTGTGGGCGGGGTAGCTGGGTGAGTGATAGCACCTCGTCACCTAATAATCTAGCGGAATTCCAGAAAGGAATACAGATTTTAATTACATTATTCTTTGGCGTATAGGGTGCACCCATGTACAAGGCGCGTTTTCCTTTCGAAGCCGCGAATTCTCCTTTCTCAATTTACTTTTGCATGTTTTTTTTGTTCGTTCTTATCCCTATTAATGATATATGTTCCATAGCAAATGTTTCAAAGCCGACTGGGCAGGTCAAAAAAACTGAAAATCATGCCCCAAGAAATACAGAGAGAAGTGTTGCTGCGTTTGCAAACTTTCGCGCGTTGCGCGGGCTACTATGCGAAATGCGCCTGATGCCCTAATGGTATTGTATAGGATGTGAATTCGAGCCAGGAACTGAGGACCGAGTTTGAGGGAAGAGTTCATTTTTTTCCTACAACCTGCCACTTCACACCTGGTCGTTATCGCCGCACGTATACTTTTGGAAAATTTTAAAATATTAATTATTAAGATCATATTATTCTTAATATTACTGAGATTCAAATTAACAATTGAAAGTTTCTTTCCGTCATGTTTGCACATATGTAGATTTTTGCGCACTGTGTGTAAATATTATTGTGTGACAGAAAGAAGCTACATAAGTAACATAAAATTTGTAACATGAAACTTGAACCAAGTAAATTTTGTATAAAAAGAACAACTGAATTAACTCAAAAGAATATTTACTAACATTTACTAAGTGCATATAATAGTAAATTATCACAATAAATACCTTGTTCCTCCTTTCCCTTACTGATGAGCACAGAAGGAGGATATAACAAACTGCTTGGTTTCCGTCTAAGGGCACGTGCGAAACGGAAACTAAGCTACTTCTTTGAGTCACCCCCTCTAAACATAGATAGGAAAATTGTAGTAAGGAACCTAACAATCAGAATATTAAACATTTCACTCAAAATTTTACTAAAATCTCATTATTCGCAAAAACTTTTGTGCTTCCCCTCTATGAGCTCACTCACCAGCAGCAGCATGTCTCGCGGTGTCCATAGGGTGTTGTCTCTCTTTGCAATCTCTTCTCCTTGCACCACATGGCCTCTTGCCACTACGCACGCGCCGTGCTTAGTGGCAAGAGGTCAGCCTTTGTGGATAAACAAAGAGAGAAACTACAATGCACTTTTTTCCTTGTTATAACTTTCAATTGTTATTCGTTTCTTCTTGGGAGTGAACTGGGGACACTCGGTTTCCAGGAAATCGTGATATTCTGGGCGTATTTTTTCCCTTTCCATTGAAGTCTCGTCATTTAGGTCCTGCGGTTCATTGCGAAGCGTGTTGGCAACCCAAATCGCAAGCCCCGTGACGGTCGATTGCCGCCAGCCACACCGGAGGAAATCCAACAGACGTTGGAGAAGTTCAATGGCACTCCGTCGTGATCTGCGACTGTTAGAGTTTTACTAGAGGCCGATCCATCTTCATTCGATTACGATGATCGACCGATGATGGCCCCTAGTGGCCATCAGAATCGCATAAACTCGGCTTTATTGACGACGACGACAACTCGTCCGCTACCGCTCTACATCCTTTTATGTACAGATAATCCGGGGCGACGGGGAGTGAGTCTCAGTCATACCTATTAGGCAATGATTAACGCACGACGTACGCATGTCGTAGTTTTTAGTGTATATCCTTAAATTTCTTTTTTTTCTTATTTTCATGTATGTATTTGTTACGACATTCATTGGGCCTATGACATAATATCGCACGTGATTTCTTATTTATCGCCTTACTTTTTCCCTCGTAAGCTGAAGCCGTCTTCCCTGCTGCTTTTTTTTGTTGGTATGTTGTTTTTTTTTGAAAGGAGCTTCGTGCGCAACGTACATGTTTGTTATTTTGTTGTTATTACATCTTTGTACATTACTGAAGCACGCATATAGAATACGATAAAAGTATTGTAATAATAAAATTAATGCTGCATTGTTTGGACGACGATGGGGAGGCACAACCAGTTGTTCAGGTACCCACCGCTGGTCATTAGATTG